CCAGGCTTACATGTAAATTAAAACGCAATTAAAAACAGGCAAATAAGCTGTTCCCGGGAGATGGGGAGGGGGGAGGGAGGGGAAGAAAGCGAGGAAAGGGCTCTCAGGATAAGGGCCTGCGTCACTCATCATTAGCATGGCATTAGAATGAAGGGAGCTAAATCTGAACACTGGGTCACAGGCACATTTAGAGGAGCTGTGTCTGCCACTGCAAGGTCTCCATGTCGATGAAAATAGCCACCCCATCCCGTGCAGAGGGAATCCTTTCTGCCTTAGATCAGACAGAAATCCACACAATTATTCAGTGGATTATTCCGCTTTTGTTCTCCGAGGCGTACCATTGTGCGCTTACCATTGTGTTTTTCACGCAGAAAACTCTATCGTTGATGGCAGCGAATAAATAATTTCAACATACAGTAACAAAGTGCTGCGTTCATGAGCAGAACGAGGCAGCTCCACTCTCTCTCAGCAGTCAAACACCCATGCTGTCCTCCTCGCTGCAGCTCAATACCATATCGACAAGTCGTGCATTCAGCCGCATTCTGCCAGAATTCCACTGCACACCACCTCCTTCCTTCCTCCGCCCCTGATCTCGGCCCTCACCCCTACCACCACCCTTGAAGGCTGGTGCTCTTTGTAGGCCCCCACCCCCTTCCTCTTCTCTCTCTCCCAGGCTCCCTGCAGCCCCCCCCCCCCAGCCTCCTGCTCAGACTCCTGGGTAGAGGGGGATCAATGGGGGAAGCTTATGTTGGTGGTGGTGGGGGTGGTGGGGGTGAACCCCACACGACGGCAGCCTTGCAGGCAAGCAGGCAGTAGGGGGAAGAGGAGGGAGGGAGGGAGAGCCCACCCTGGCAGAGGAGCACCCCTCTCCACAGACCTGTCGCCTCGGTGCAACAATGGCCGTGACAATGACACTGGAGGAGGAATTTCCGCTGCCCCCCACCCCACCACCACCACACACACACACACACACCCATACACACACACACACACACACACACACACCTCCCCACCCCATCTTCATAGTGCATTAAAATCTGCAGCACCCAGATGAATGGCTTCCTAATAGCTTCCATTTGTTACAATTATCATAATTAAACATATGTCGGGGGCAGACAAAGGGAACGGGAGATTTCTGTGTTAGCACCTGAAGCAGAAAAAGGATAGCTATTGTTACAGCATAATTAGCCTGAACGTCGTATACAGCATATTTACATTAAAGAGCTTCTATTGCGGTTATTCAGTCAGTGAGTTTCCATCTTGTTTTCAGCAACAGTGTAAACATTAATTCTTCTGTCTTCTTGCCATTTGTGTGCATGTTTCCTCTGTATGTCCTTGCTACATCAGCCTGTTAGATAGTGGAGCTTAATGACCGCCCGCTGAGCGCCGTGAGAATGGCTGTAGGGCCCTCTCAACATTTTTGCAACAACCCCCTCCTTCGCCTCCTCTAAACCCTGTCCTTGCATTCTGTCCCTTAAACCAATCCACTCTTTTCTTTCTCGTCGCTGTGGAGCAATGAATCGGATGCTTGGCTATTTCCGACGCAGAGGTCTATCTCTCTTTCCTCTCTCCTGTCTCCTTTTTGTCCCTTCTTTTTCCTCTTCCCACCACACCTTTTTTCTTTTCCTTTCCCTCTGCGTCAATCACACTTTCCCAGCACCCCCTTCCCTTCCCTCCTCCACCACTCTCCATTCCCTCAGTTGGCACTCCTGGCACCGTGGGTGGTTGGGTGCCAAGGAGGGGAGGCCTCCTGGCTTCCCCCCTGAGCGACCATTTTGTGGATTCCTTCTTGAGCGAGCCAGCTGTGTGCATGCAGAGTATTCGTGGACGACAGAGAGAAGGAGGATGGCGAAAGAAATCGGTGTTGCAATAGATAAAAAAAAAAAAAAGGTCACAAGGCTGAGCTGCTTGTGGTTCCTGCTGAGACCGGACCAGAGATCAGGACTCAACCTGACCCTGGCCCTCTTACAGGCACATTTATACTCCCATGAATACTCTCACAAACATTCTTACATGCGCAATGTTTCCACTCCTTTTCTCTGTAGAAATCACTATCAGAGAAAGACTCCTTTACAACTCATAACATTTTCTGTGAGTTTAATATTAACGTATTTCCTACTGCGTTGTCTCAAATAAATGTATTCTCAATGTCCAACATGTGACGATGTAAAGCTTTGACACAAACTGAAATAAAAGGTTGTTTTGAAGAGTCAGGAGATGAGACACAGACGGGCTGACCCTGAGTTATCCTCATGTTTTAGATAACGCCTCATTTGACCTCGACGGTGCAGCAAGGACAAAATAAAAAACGAAAGGTTTTTTTCTTATTTTTTCTCCCGGAGACTTTTAAAAGAAACAAGTCTACAAATTCCAAAAAGTATAAGACAGCCACAAAGTGAATATCCGTGTTTGTTGTTCATTTAGGGGCATTTTCACACCGCGGATAACGGCATACAAACGGGGAGACACACATCAGAAGCGTCTGTGCGTCGTTGCATTTTGGATTGAGCCTTTTTTCACAACTATTTCTCAACCAAATCACCTGATCAACGTCGGGTGATTGTGATCAGCGCCCTGGTCATTATTTTGTTTGTCTGTGTCTATTTATTTGCCTGCAGGGTTTGCGTTCATTTAGCTGTCGGCAATCGAAGCTCTCAGGAAAATAAAACTGGTTTGTTTCCAGTCAGCGGCTTTTATCAACACTTTGAATGCCAAAGTCGCAGATGAACAAGTGCAAAAAAAGGGACACATGGTTACCTGAGCGCATTCCTAAGAGTGCGTGCAGACCAGGGATTACCGAACACTGTAGGCTATATATTCACATTTATAAAGAGGAAAATCAGATTATAGTGAAGACATGTCTTCGTGCTTCAAGGGATTTGGTCTAGATATGTTAACTTCCCGAGATGATCAGTCATTAAGGTGCTTCGGGCAGTATATGGATCTCTCGGCTGCAGAGGAAAACACTCACAACTCCTCAGCGAACCAATTTAAGAGGGATAAAAAAAATACTTTGAAATAACGAAAGGTTTCCAATTCCTCAAACCTTCACACCTGATGTGCAACCTGATCGCTTTAAATTAAGAAGCCATTCTGCGTGCTGGTGACGCTGTTTCACTTTAGAGCTGCCAGGTGATCGAAGCGCATTTCTGATAAAGTCTATCGATTTATTTGTTTGTAAGTATAACCAAATATATTTATATTACATCGAGCTGATGTGATCAGATCACAGACTCCGACAGGCTGAGTCGGAGGATTTTCTAAATGATTATCTCTGTCTTGACGCAGACTGCAGGCGTCATTCCCGTCAGTGCAAATAACAAAATGACACATAATTTGTATTTTGGGTACCTGGTGAATAAACAGAGCTCACACTGAATGCCTCCCAACCACAGAATTTCCTCTATAATGAGCTCAGACCTTTTGAATATGCATTTCGATTCGATGAGATCTCTTCAAAGACCAAAATAATGATTGAGGAAACATCAGTTCCTTGGTGCCATTTTATCAAGAGCTCGTTTGTTTGTCACAAACTTAAATTCTCTCTCTCTCTCTCTCTGTTTCTCCGCGTCTCTCTCTCTCTCTCTCTCTCTCTCTCTCTCTCTCTCTCTCTCTCTCCTTTCATGCTGTTGCTAGGGAAGCAGGGCGTATGCGCTCCCTGGCCGCGGCTGAAGGGCACAGGAAAAACACAGGAATAAGGCGAATACACGCAGTTTTAATCGAGCACGTTTTCTATATTTGAGTCTTAACCCCCTCCTGCACACATTTCAAGAGTGAAACTCGGGAATTAATGAGTGCAAAATGCTATATTTCGGAGCTTTTTTTCCATTGCCTTATATGGCAGGGCAGAGATATATCGTGCCTGCGTTTAATAGGCTGGCCGCTGCCGCTCTGCTTAGAGGCTTCATTTTAACCCTTGTGGTGCTGAATTATTTTTGGAGCAAGAAAAAGCATCGGGGTTTTTAGCTTGTTTGATTCTCTTTTGACGCCATCCATGCCACACACTCAAACGAATTGCGCCTTTTTTGATGAAAACCATGCGCACAGATTGCAATTTGCGCATAAAAACGAGCGTGTGATGCACGAACGCGCGTTTTCTCTCATGTTTTCAATTAAGTCCCCATAAATCCGGTGACTTAATATTGCTGACATTTACAGCTCACAGTAAATACTCACTGTTCATGTGGTTTATGCCTTTGGATTTAAATTGTCAAGAAGCAGATAGACAAGCAATAATACAACCGATAACAGGCTGTAATGCTGATATTAGAAGGGAAACAAGCTGAGCTTTCTGGCACCATTAGAAAGTTGCCACAGGTAGGCTGCAGGCTGCACGGCAACCCTCTGCTGTGTGTCAAATGTATGGCAGTTGAGCCCAGAGGACAAGGCACTGGTTTGACGGATCAGTTTGTGTGACCTATATTTGCAGGGCGTGCTGTCAGCAGATCGAAGTGTAAGCCTCCGTCTGCACATCTACAACTGTGCTGCTTTAAGGGTATTGAAAATAAAAAGGGGAACTTCGTCAGTGCTTTGGTGACTCACTGCTGTCACCTTCAAGGCTCGAGGTCTCCTGCTAAAACAGAGGATTGGAGACGAAACTGTTTATTTCAGCTCCCTCAGGTGCAGTTTTGCTGCATTACAAATGCCTGATGCAGTTATAACATAACTGTTGTGTGGATTTAAATTGACGCATCTATTGAAAAGTCATACTATTAATTAGCATCCACACACCATATGCACTTGAATAAAACTCAACCACTCTTAAGTATTTTTCTCATGTGAATAGTGTATCGGCCGTTGGAGGAGTGGTTCCCACGAGCCTTGCTATCGAAAAGAATCGATACAACTTCGCGAGTAGATTTTATGCATTAGTGCTGTAACAGTAAGGTAGTGATTGATTTGAATTTCCAGATATCCCTCCCGCAGTCCAGCACGTACGGGATAAAACCCCAACCTCTGTGCAAGGTCTCGTCCTCCCCCTCCCCTCCTGACGTCATGCATCGAGCTGAAGCTATTGCACGAAAAGAGCTGCTCGCAGCCGCACTGTGAATATCTGTATGCTCATAGCTAGTGGACTGTGGATTGTGCAAAGGAGGGAGGGAGAGAGAGAGTGCGAGAGAGAGGAGGAGAGGTGGAGGGAATACAGTTGGATTTGGATACAACTGGAAAACTACCAAGTGCGCACAGCACGCACCGAGCGGAAGGCACATCGACGGTGCGTAGCCGACATTTCACCGACTCCCCCGCGATCGGATTCAGGCGAGAATGGAGCTCCCTGCCGCCGGAGAGCACGTCTTTGCGGTGGAGGGCATCGAAAAGAAGCGCATCCGCAAGGTAAGAGAGGGAGCATGTTTGCAAACGTTGAGCGTTGCAATGTTGCGTTTGACGCGAGCCTCACCAGATTTCCCTTCTCCACCATCACAGGGCAAGATCGAGTACCTGGTCAAGTGGCGAGGCTGGTCTCCCAAGTAAGTCTTAATAATGCAATTACCACTATCCTAAATAGCTCCACTGCGATGAGAAATAAAATGCATAATTTTGCATCAAAATCGAGTGTTGTTACTTAAAAATGCCATTCATCAAGGGCGTGCGCGCACAGAGTGTGTGGTTGTTTGTGGCTGAGTGTGTCCCCGTGTGTGTGTGTGTGCGTGCGTGTGCGTAAGGAGAGCGCGGTCGGTATGTGTTTCAGTGTATCCGCGGATGCCTTCACTAATTTATGCGAGGGAAGGGGGGTAGGCACAGCCATGTAATCCCGTTTTAATTATTTCTGCTCTGCCAGCGAATTTACGAGACAGTGGTGCTAAAATGGCCGACTGTATGTTGGTGCTGGAGGACCGTTTTGGAGATCACATACAGACAATTCGTCTTTGACATGTTTGCTCTGCAGTTGCATGTCCTCATGGTGGATCTGCTTTTGCGGGAATGTGACTAATAGTTGTTGCACATATGAATTGAAATCCGCACCTTTTTTCTGTTGAACTGAACGCCTGGCTCACCTGTCCACTCCGCACTGACTGCACAATCACGGTGTTAGACGTGGGAATGTGTGTGACGGGACAGACGCTGAGGCCCATGTGTGTCAGTTAGAAAAAGCAAGTGTGCACGTGACAGCTTGCTGACAGTTGCTCTCTCTCTTCTCTACAGATACAACACATGGGAACCAGAGGAAAACATCCTTGACCCGCGCCTCCTCGTCGCGTTTCAACACAGGTGAGAGATGTGGACTTAGGACAGGCCGCGCAGGCTCCAGTTCAGCCATGACCATATACGGGCATGGGAGGAGGGGCGCTCCAGTAACTCTAGCACTGATTACCCCCCCCACCCACCCCTCCTCCTCTTCAGCACAGAACTGTCTCCTGGGAAAAAGGCTGGGGATGTGGTAGTGAGAATTCCTAAATCATACTAATGGGAAGATCGGACACGCGTAAATATACGCAGGGATGTAGGCGTAAATTGTAACAAATTATCATCTCATTATGTGATTTTGCGTCAGGAATCCGAGGGCTCAACAGCATGCCATGACAGAAAACTGAAGTAGGAGTATGGCTTTGGACGATGGAGCAATGAAAATGGAAAAGCAATGTTCCCCATCTGGATTAAAATACAAATATTTGGTTATAATCGTATTTTTACTAGTTTCCGACGGTAGAGTTTAAGCAGGGCAGGTGCTGAATTGGCAGCTGCACTCCAGAGCCTGACTGTTTTCATTTAGGGTGCAGGACACAAGTGCAGCAGTTTGTTGTGGTTTTCATGTGAGGGGGCCGAGCTGCTGCCTGATGGGATTCTCACCACTATACCAATCTGAGATCTGCCATCAGGCTGCTGAGCTCTGCTTTACTTCTGCAGGCGGATTTCGTATAACACTAACACTAACTCGACAACACTATAGCGCTGACGCGTCCCATGCAACTGCTGCCTTTATTTTGCTATTTAAGGTTGTGGAAAGACAATATCTCACCTTGGATGCATAAATCATCAACCTGCTTTCAATCGTGGGTCAAGAGTGGGCTAAATAGAGGCCTGTAGGTAATCAGAAACACATCAATGTCAATCTCAGAGGTTGAGATGCTAATGAATACAAATGATGCTGTCATTTTAGCCCTGTGGCGCGTGCACAACAACATCGTGTCTGGTTTGCTGGACTCATGAGGCCTGTGAGATTTACTCTCTCTATAGGCCACCAGGCCGCTTGTGGGACTGGGAAAAGACACGATGGCTGGGGAAAGGAATTTGAATTTCTGAAAAGGCTAATTGACACGCAGTGCTCTCCGGCGTTTCCAGTGTACGGCTCTCATATTCCCCCGCAGCCTGCCTGCCTGGCTGTGTGTGTGTGTGTGTCTGGCTCTTTGCTGATGGTCATGGAGTGCTGCCTCTGCGCCGTGTGTGTGGATTCCTCTCTGCTCCCAGAGGATGGGGGAGGGGATCCGACAAGGGAGGCTGTAATTGCCAAATCTTCTGTGAATAGGGGTCACCCCCGTTGGACGCTGTTTGAAATCGCACACATTATAGCATTAAAATGTAGACTGTTTATTTTGGCGATTTTCTGGCAGCTCTGATAGTTTGAACATCTGCAGCGAGAGGCCAACAATAGGCTGGATTTACACATGCCGGGTGAAGCCTGTGAGCAGCCGGCCTTCACCCACCGCTGGTTATTTATGAGCCAATGATGAGTCAAGGTTTATATCGGGGAGTAATATTTCACAGATAAACCCAAAGTGCTCGGTCTAGTCAGTAAAACAACAACAACACGCTTCCCCTCTCTCCTCCCTCTACAAAAACAGTTCCAAGAGATGTTTGTTCCTTGTCAGATATTCATTCACCCTACATTTTGAGTGTAGGTGTAGTGTTACACAAGGGTGGTGGTTTTCAACAGCAGCACGTATCCCAGAAGTTCTGTTGTATTTATTCCATTTTATCCCTCATGACCCTAATTACAGATTCAGTGTAGAAGGAAGGGCGTGCTGCGGGAGGGAGGATGTTTGAAAGACAAGGGGAGATTTTTCCTGCTGTAGCCTTAATTGAATTTCTCCTGGATAATGAGAATATGGAATGGGCCTATTACCATGGAGAGCTATGCAAATAAGGACCATAATGCTTTGCAGCAGGTCACACGTGGGCATTCATTAGTCCTCCAAATCTAAATTCCACTTTTGACCTTGAATAGGGAGAAGAAAATGAACAAATACTCCAAATGTCAACCCTGTAATTTTCTTTGTGATATAATTTCGATTTTTTTTTTAATACAGAAAGGTGGAAACTGTCATTTGAATTAGATGTTGTAAAGAGAAGGTAAATATGGTGCAAGAAAACGTAATTACCTTTTTGTTTTTCGCAGAGAGAGGCAGGAGCAGCTGTTGGGATATCGCAAACGGGGGCCAAAACCAAAACATCTTTTACTCCAGGTAATTATCTTCTTCATCGTTTACGAGTCATCGCATGATAGTTTCTGAAGGAATGTCCTGTTAAGTTTCGCTCTGTAAGAGACCAAAAAGGGGGTTTGGGCCTGTCAGGTGCAGTCATCATGGTCGCGGTTATTAATAGAGTTCTTTGAGAGAGATGAAGTGAAGGGCAAAGAAAGGATGGGGTCCTACAGCTGGATTTGTTTGCTCACCCATCATGAAACAGGGTTTTGTTGCCTGAGGTTATGCAAGCGCCACATGAGTGCACTCATTTTATCTGCATATGCAAAGTAACAGCTTTAACGAGAGCTTGTTATTGTAGGGTCTTTTTGGACCAAGTGAATCTGTATCAGGAGAATGTTTTCTTTCATTTCCCTGTTTGCAAAAGATGAAAATAGAAGGCTGAAAGTAGCACTTGTCTTGTGCTTTGACTATTTTACCTCTGTCCTCTTACAATGTGGTTATATATTTTGGGAGACTTGGAGCCAATTGTTATGCAGTGTCACTCCCGAGGAGGCATACCACGTTGCCAGAGTCACACGTGGCCAGCAATCAGGAATAAAGCGTGACATGTCTGGTGGCACTTCTCTGACCCGAGGTCACAGCCGGAGCATCTTGAGTGTTCCGCTGCAGTTCTCCTTTGACAGCCCGAAGGGTCAGCCAGTACAGGAGGAGGGGGAGGGGACAAGATGGTGGGAGGGAGATTGTGAACTGAGCAATGATTGGAGAGTTAATTTCAATTTCCGAAAGGCTTCCGCATCTTGTAAACTCTCTCATTTTCAGCCTGTAGCTTTGCTTATTTTAGCTGCTGTTTGAAATCCCTTTGAAAGGGGCATTAAACCTCACGCGATATGCACATTTTGTGAAAACAGTTGTATAATGGCTCCTGCTTTGCCAGGGAAGATAACACACAGTGAGGCGAGTGTTGCATTATGGGAAATGTAGGATCTGGTCTTCACAGAGCTTCATATATATACTTTTGTTAAACTGTTTCTTGTGAGACCCCACCAACAAGTGCACTAAGTTGGCCTATTTTTTTTTAGTTATTACTTAAAGACATCCCAGAACTCCAATCCTCATTATTATTATTAGTTGGCTCATTATATTCTTGAGTTTGCTGAAAACAGGGGAAATGTTAAACTTGGTGTCTTGTCTCTTTCTTCAAGGTACCCTCATTTGCCAGAAGATCCTGTATCCCTGCAGGTTTTGGAGAGTCATCTCAGGATGCAGAGGCTATCCTCAAGTCCGACCCCGTCCCGGTCCAGCGCCCCCAGCCTCAACAGTACCAGCTCAACAGCAAAAAGCACCATCAGTACCAGCCCAGCAGCCAGGAGGTCCCCACTGACCAGCCGACCAACGGCAAGAAGAAGTTCATCTACCAGCTCAACAGCAAAAAGCACCACCACTATGAGCCTGACCCGAGCATGTACGACGCACAGGCTTCCAGGCTCAAAGAGGTGGTCAAAGTTCAGGAACTGGCCAGTAAACCGGCAAATCCTGGCTGGAACTTACCACTGGCCCTGCAGCAGAAATGGGTTCGAGACAAAGACACAGGCTGCTTGAGCAAAGTTAAAGAGCTGGCGGTGGAGGTGAGGAAACCCGCTGTTAAAGATGCTGAGAGCGAACATGCCCTTAAACCCAATCCTAAAGACGCGACCCTGCCTAGCGCTATTAGCAGCAAAATGAAGATAATCAAGAACAAAAACAAGAATGGACGTATTGTTATTGTCATGAGCAAATATATGGACAGCAACAAGGCTCATGGGGCTAAGGGTAAACACGGGGAATCTTCAAGCGAAGTGAAACCCCAAAGCACCAAACCGTCGGAGAACAATCCAGCACATACAACCAAAATGGTGCAGCACCCTGAGAATGGTATCCCAAAAGAGATCTGTAACGGCAGCTCCCTCCCTGCTGCAGAGCACCCTATAAAGTGTTCCCCAAAGGACAGACACTTCTCCAAACCTTCACCAAGCACAGCAGAGGAATACAACACCGAGGTGGCCCGTGGTCAGGCCGATTTACCGGACGATCTACCCCTTCAGCTGACTGCTAGCTCACCCATGACGTCCTGGTCTGTTGACGTCAACATCCCGACCCCAACGTCCGTTGACCACATCAGGATCCCTTCTTTTCCCAACGACCGCAAGCGAAAGCTATCAGATCCCGCTGAGGACAGGAGCGTCTCCAAAACCTACGTGACTTCTAGAAGCTTCAGCGTCCCCAGCACTGTGGTCACGCCACCTCAGGACAAACCTATGGACCTCCACTGTAGCGGCCCCCGCCACAGCAGTACATTTACATATGAGGTTGTGGACTCTGGCAGCCAAGAGGAGCCGATGGATCTCAGCTGCCCAAAAAATAAGAATCAGGTGGAGACGGAGATACTGCCGGAGCCCGAGCCTGCCGTCACAAACGCAACTAGTGTGACAGAAGACGCACAGACATCCACAGAGAAATCTAAAGAAGCACCTCTTCAAAAAATCTCCCCTTTTATGGGAAATATCATAATCACTGACATCACAACAAACAGTCTGACCGTCACATTCAAGGAATTTGTTTCTTTCTAAGAAACCATTTTGTAAAATGGGACTACTAGTGACCGATTGGATGAATGCTGTTAATATGTACATATGTAAAAAAAACAAAAAACATCAGAATTTTGTAAATGTTGAAATTTATAATTTATCATTCAAATTCAATATGTTTCTTAGAATGTTTTATACTGTAACTCCTCTGTGACGTTGTAGCCAAGAAAGTGCCCTCGAGACTTTGAGCGAATGCATTCAGGTGGATGTGTTCCACTTTTTAAAAAAACGGTTTATTTGTCATATGGAGCCGAATGGGATACTTTTGCTGTTGTTTCATACCTGCACCAAACTTATAACCTGATATGTATGAAATCTTATACATATTTCTTATGAATAATGTCACTTATTTTGGTCCTGAAAGAAGGTAGAGAGGATGTTGTCGGGTATATGGTGATCAAAGATCAAATTGAAAGCACTTAATTACATTTTCACATGTTGGTTTGTGTCATTACGAGGAGAGAAACAGCTGTTTTCTTGAAGTCTTATTTCACTTTTTACTCCAGACAGGTTCCCTTAGACGGATTTGGCATATTTTGTTTGGTGTTTTGTTTGTGGCTTGTTTGAGAAAACATCATTAGCTATACCATGCAAATTTACAAAAGCAGGTGTGTCTGAATACAGTGGGAACACACAGTGTGGGACACACTCGGCTGTGTCAACAACCTTAAAGAAATGTCCCGGTCTTTTCAACAAAGCCGTCAGTGAATATACCGCTGCAACCCGATCTATTGCTATGTTGCACATCTCACCTTTAGCAAATATTTATGGACTGACATGTGACATCTCAAAGGTCTGTTACTATTTCTCAAATGTGCGACTTCCCATTAAGACGACGTATTGATTCTTACCATAATTAGATCATGATTTATTAACTTATTGTTGACCTCACATATTGCTGGAGTTACTTTAAAATACATACGCTAGTCTCATTAGGACTTTCCTAATGTCACAGAGAGTGGCGATATTCATCTCATTTTGCTTCTGGAGCTCATTGTATTATCTGGAAAACACACGTTACTGTTATTAGCTTTCGAAAAAGAAAGCTACCAGGGTGATTTAATGAGTATGTTACACAGATTAAATGTGAGTCGCGAGGCTGCCTTCGTATACTGTTACATGCGAGCCAATGAGTGCAAGCTGTTTTGATTCTGCTGCTGAAAATTCAAATGTCAAAGCTGTTGGATGTAACCTACATTTGAGTCTAAATTGCCTTCCACGCACGTTCGATGCAAACCAGTAAGAATGCTATAATAATAATAATAATAAAAAATATAGCATATTTATTGATGTTTAACTTGTTGTAACAAAAGATGCGCTCTGCATCAGAAGCTACACTTGATTCCATTGAACAGTTGAAAAGATGTTTTAAGTCTGTTGGCTCCTTTTTGTTCTCTATTTTGTGCATTGTTTTGTTCATTCTCGCACTTGGTTCGAAATCAAAATGATTGATATAAAGTATGTTCTACCAGGAGTTGGTAGACTTATTGCTGTTGGCACAGCTTATTGGATGGTATGTTTCACAATAAAGAGAGAGAAATAACCTCTTACATGTTTATGCATTTATATTTGATGGCTTGTTGATAAATTGGACGTACTATCGGCAAACTTCTCTATCGTTTTTTTTTAGTGTTTGGTGAAAGATCTATGTATCGCTGTTCCTGCCCCGCAGTTGTTATGAAGCGTTTCTGCTGATACAGTGAACGAATGGAACAATAAACACAAGAAACACTAACTTGGTTGTGAACCATGAACAGAAAAACAGATCATGTTGCATAATCACAAACGATCCTGCACAAAGGGCCCTCTGTATTGCATAACTACACCGGCCACTTGTATTATTAAAACTTTAGCTGTGTATTATTCTTCTACTGCAGCTCGACCCTAAGCAGGAATGTAAACACACAACACGACGGGAGGGAATGCTGTTATGTAACTCTTAGATTCCATCAAGAAGAAAGGCGTCATGGAGGTATTTGTCCGTTGTGTAATAAGTGTGTGTGCCTTCCAGAACACAGTGCCTGCTAGGAACGTCGGTTTTATGACCTTTAATTAGTGTGTGCAACATGATCATGGCAGTTCCAGTTCATTGTGTAACTTGTTGTTATAGGACTGCGTTGTCTTGTAAAACGCTGCGTCACTATGACAGCAATTCTCCCGACATTATTATCACACAGTAAAGGACAAGTTCAGACCTATGAAGACTCGGATGTATGCAAAGCTTCAGATACACGTTGGCGCATACCTCAGCTGACCTTTCATGACATTGCCAAATGTGTGGGCCTCTCTCAGTCTTGTCTTGTCAGTATTGGCTATAAGTTACTGTAATTTTATTATGTTGGTAATTCTCTACACACTGCCTTTGTCTCCATATTATCTTTGTTTCTTCCGAAGCCAGGGTCAAAGGACAGATGGTGCTGTACAGATTGTAGACCCCCTTTTGAGGTAAATCTGTGATTTTGGGCTGATATAGTTAAAAGTGACTTGACTTAAAGAGAATCATTAAAAGCCCTCTAACCAGGACTTTGATCTGAAAATGTAAGCAGAAATTGTTGTCGTTATACTAGAATCTCAAACTTGTAAACAGATTAACTCTTGAATGTTTTGAGTGATAGAAAGGCCCAGGAATGTGTGTGTGTGTGTGTGTGTGTGTGTGTGTGTGTGTGTGTGTGTGT